TGCAACTTGGGAAACACTATATTGGGTGTTTTCTTTACATTAGACTGAAAAAAAAACTTTTTAGAAAACTTTACTGCAGGCAAAAACAAAGCAGCTCCTTAACTTGCTCTGGATTGTGCATGTAAGGGGTTAATGGCTGTAAGTAAAATGGCAGAGTCACTGCACTTAAGTTGTCACCTGTGGGAGGCTCTGATTCACTCAATCATTACATTTCTCCTCCACACTCCAGCGCTGATGATTCAGGTGCACTTATGGCCAAGTCCACCTCTTTCAGCTCACACTTTATTCTGTCTATTTAAAGATGTGAGATAACTTTATACAAATGAGACGTGGGGACTTTGAAATGACATTTCGCTCAAGAAATATATTTAAAAAAAAATGGCATCCAGCATGACACTGCTTTTAGTGTGACTCATTTGCATGTTAACGGAACGTGTTTGTAGAACAACTAGATTGTTGAGCCTACAGTGTCTGTGTAATAGGACGTAAAAATAGGATGGTCTAGTTAGAATAATATATTGTTTTACATTATCTATTGATTCATTCAAATGTTTCAGAAATAGTGAACATAATTTGTACACTATTTACATTATTTTTGACATCAAATGCAAAGCAACTATTTATTTATTAGTTTTATTTTATTGTAATTTGTTTTTATATAACTGTTTTCTCATTTTTAGATAAATAAAGAGCTCAGCCCAAACACTGCTAATGATAAACTCCACCAATAATACACAATGAATTTTAAAAGAACAAACCATTTTATTTACTGTTGACTTCCACTGTAGACAGATATTAAAGTCCCCCTAACACCAAGATCGAGAACTAATTAGTTTTAATAATCATTCTAGGTATTTGAGATCATGAAAGTTCACTCCTTTTTTATTATCTATGATTTATTTAACAATTTTACATTTTACTAACATGACAAACAACCCTTAAAAAATAACAAAAAAAAATAAATAAATAAATGAAAATAATAATAAAATAAAAACCCAATTACACAACTTAATGAGGAGCAGATGTCTACATTTGTGCAACAATCTCAATGTTATATAATTCAAGTAATGTAAGATTACAAACTGATGTATTACTATTGTCAAGAGGGTGATCAGTCTAGATCCAACTGGAGAGTTTTAACAAGATAAAAATAATTTTAAAAAGGGCTTCCAAATTTTATTGAACACTCTATGTCTTTGAAGTCTAATCTTCTCTTGTTTCGCAAAATACAAAACACCTTTCAGCCACCGTAGACCATACATACGAGGGTGGCTGCAGGGCTCTTCTAGTTGAATAAAATGTAATGTCTAGCAAGTAAAGTAAGAAAGGCCACAAAGTTGGGGTAATGTATGATTATCAGGCATTAGGCCAATAATAGGTGATGTATAATAACGTAATTCAGCCATTACAGATATAGCACCAAGTATGAATTTCATGCTTAAGTAATGGCTGAAAGAGGGAGAAATTAGAAACCCCAGAATGAGGACAGAGCTGGGCATGTCCAGAACATATGTAATGTAATGCAATGTGTCTATTTTAGCGCATTTATCATGTATGGCCATTCACCTAAAGAACTCCTAAATCATGAAGGGAGTCTCTCCACACCACCACCAGTGTGCAGCATCCACTTGAATGATGCGACAGCAGCCACAGGACAACGGCACCAGTGCATTCACCACACACCAGCTATTGGTGGAGTGGAGAGACAGCTCGAGTGTTCAAAGTGGCAGAGCACAAAACTGCAGTGTGTGTTTATTATGAACAGAACAATAGTGTGGATTCTGATTGTTATTGTCATCATATTTTTGTGGGAACATGCCTTTGGAATTATATAAGGATATAAGGGTGAATAAATAGCAAGTGTATAGATTTTTGAGTGAACTAACACTTTAACAATATGAAATACCCAACACAACCCATCTAATATGATAAGCAAAAGCCGCCTGCCTTCAAAATCCATGCTTGACTCTCAGAGGATTGCATAACATGGATTGATTTCAAACTAAATAACTAGTTTTAGAAACATTCAAAAAACTGCAGGATAAGCAGCTAATAGATTTAAACAGTTCAAAAGTACAGAAGAAAATCCAAGGCAAACTTATGTAATAGCCTTCCTGAATAGAGTTTGCACACAAAGGATGCTGAATGTAGAAATCCTGCAGTCTGTGGAGTGACCTTAGAGGAATGAGACTGCATACATTCACACACACATACATTCCCTGCTGTGTTAATGTAAGAGCTGATCCTGGACCAGACAGCTGTATTGAGCACACACAGACATGAGTGTACAAGTGTATGAGCACATTCTCATCATAATAGTTGCACTTTTCTCTTCTCAGAAGCACAGTTTCATTTGATGCTGAAGGTTGAAAACACAACACACAGTACATGAAAATACAGAAGAAAAGCAAATGTTTCAAACAAAGTTTTGGGGAAAACTAACACATCAGTTTGTGTGACTCTTCATTGGGTTTCCATTTTCCCAAATTAATTCCACATTGTATAACATTGGTTCTTGAGAAGTTGAACTGAAGTTGAAGAACTGCAAAACTAAACAACAAAAGAGATGAGGCATGGCCCTGTATAAGATTCTGACGGTGTGATAACCTTGGATAAAAATATTACGGTATTGTGATTACTGCTCTAAAATATGTTTGTTTTAAATTGTCTGGGTAAAAAACAAAACCCTTTTTCCCCTTTGAACACAATATAGTTTATTTTGAGAACATTTTAAAGTATTTTGTAACAGTAAACATGTCAGACTAAATAGTTCAAATGAATCTTTGACTTCTGCTGTCTTCAAAACACTGATTTCTTTACAAATTTCTTTAGAGATCTTTTCTGCAAGAGAAACTGTTGTCGTGAAAAAAACATAGTATATAAAAATCTTACATATACCTTAGGAATGCTATAGCATAAAATATTTGGTGGTTTTAAAACCTTGACTTTTCCAAACCGTGAAAAAAGTGTTGCATGCAGAACTGTTGCAAACAATTTATTTGAATTAAAACAAACAAATTAAGTTTAATAATGTTCAACCTAATTTGTTTGTTTAAATTCAGCCCAAAACAATTGTTTACAACCACTTTACGTTAAAAAAAAATTGAGTAAATCCAAGAAATCGTCTTTGAATATTTTTTTTCACCTTGAAAACGGTTATCGTCCCATGCCTAATCGAGATGATTTATCATTTCATAACTCAGTCATTTTAGCAGACAGACCACATTTTTACATGTCAAACCATTTTTCAACAAATGTAGCAAAATGAATTATACTTAGTATCAGCATCTGACAGAGGGTTAATCCTTTAGAGAGCCGTCTGCCCCTTTATTGGCCACTTGAATGCATTTTTATAAATGTCTCATGTTGGCAAAATGGTGACAACTTTGAAATCATATAAAATATGCATGCATCATTGGAAAACCTTGATTATATGTGAGATATTGCATGTTATTTTTTTTATTTAATAAAATTATATATTTTTTTTGTTTAATTGGATTTGAATAACTGTAGATTTAGTGAGAGGAGGACTATACGAGCCGTACATTTGATAAAATTAGCAATTTAAATTGGAGGGAATAAATCTGTTAAATGGATTCTTTTATTATTCACTCATAACAATTACAATGGAAAATGTTCACATCTTTAAACCTAATATCAGTTATAATTGGTGGAATTGGTTTTGTTTCATGCCTCAAGAACCCGAAAAGAATGTTAAATGTGACAGTGTACCCCGGGTGTAACATGGTGTGATTTGAGAAAACGAAACTAAATGAACTTAACTGATAAACAAATATATTAATCCATTTTTGCCTGAAATATAGTTTTATAATGTTTAAAAGTTGGATGATATTTTAAAATGTTTATGAAATTTTGGTACTTTTTTCATGATATTTGCAGAGATGCCAATTAGTCAACAATGTAGGTTCTGTTGTGCTGTGTCAAAATAAACCACAAAAATCTGGCTTGTATTGATCCAGCGCTGTGTCAAATATTGACAAACCTAACAGTTTGCTTAAAAATGTCATTAAATGAAAAAAAAATAAATAAATGTCCATATTTTAGCCAAAATCTGGGTTACATCCCAGCATTTTTATTTGACCATGTGTGTTATAATAACTTAACAAAGGCTGGAATGTCAAATATACTTTACTTATTGCATAAATTAAATTAAAAGGCACCAATACACAAAAGGTTTCCTCTTCTTCAAGACAGCTATGATCCTGAACATGGAAACTTGTTTGATGTATGCGTGTCGAGTACGGGGCGGGGCGTATGCAAATTGTAGGCGTGGTTAAATGAATGGAGTAGAATGTCCTGCAGCTCTAACCGGCAGACAGCTGAGGGATACTTTCAGACGGTAAGCTCTGTTTTATTCAACTCCATACCTTTAAAACATTACTGAAACTCAATATATTGCGATTGACAGACTTGTCAAACATGTTGTAAGATTTCACTGAGATATTTAAAGGTCATTCTGTTTTGAAAAGGTTCAGTTTTGACCAACAGAATTTGACAGCATTAATAGCGCAACGAGAATTAGTATAAAAGTAACGTTAATACATTTCGGTTTCTACTTTAACAGTAGATAGTACTTTAGCAGTGAATATTGATACAATAACTGTCCTACTATCAGTTAATAGACTAACGTTAGTATAAGTAATTTTGTGGAAGTTGTCACTTTTATAAAAGCGCGTGTGTCTGAAAATGTTTGAGACACAGCCGGTTTTGAGCTCATCTTCGCTCGCGTCTTATTTAAGGATGTTAAATCGCACCCTGCTGTTCAGACGCTGCGGAGAGTCCCTAACGTACAGTTCATCATACAACGTCTATCTTCATGCGAAAAACACATTAAAAGCTCAGGCTTGTCTATCTGACGTCAGTCACATTTCACTCAGCCACCAGCCGTCCGTTATTTTTTCCCTAGGTGGTCATCATGACATCATTAAATACCGGAGAGGAATACCGGGAGACCTCAGAGGTTTTGATTTAGTGATGAGGATTTCCTCTCGGATGCGGCAAACCGGCATCATTGTTCTGCAGACATTGTAACCGGTGAGTTAAAGCAAATATGTTCGTGATGTCGAATAAAGCATCTTTATTGTGGATTTCTGTATTTTAGACTATTTGACGGTTTTTGGTCTAACGGATATGCGTTTGCATAAACAAACAGTGCCAATGCATCTCGGCGGTTTATTAATAGGCTATATGCGTGTAAATCTAAACTGCCGGGTTATGTGATGTGCTGACCATAAAGTCTTTGTTAGTGTTTCTCTGTCGGTCGGGTCTGCAGTGCCGCCCAAACGACACGCTCAGATGATCAAGAGCTGCTCTGCTTTCTTTAAATACAGTTCATCAATGCCGTTCACAAAGACGTGCAACACTGAAACATTTACTGGACGCCATAAGATACATGTTTGTATAATATTGCGGTGTGATATTTATGTCTAGAGTGTGTCTTAATGAAAATCGTGAAGGGTGACTGATTGCAGCAGAAGCTCTAGCCTCAAGCGTTATTGCATGAGCAGAAATGCTGCTTTTCTTCATGTCAGCATGGCAGGACTTTTATAGCTAGAGATTCTGTTTTACTGTAATATATAACTAATTAAAAGCCTATAAAATATTTTAGACCAAAATGTATTTTTATATATAATTCTACTCTGTTAATGAAAATACTTCCAGAGGAAGAGAAAATAAACAAGCTTAGTCTCATCATTAAGCAACATACACAGAATGGAGCTGAACAGTGCATATAGTTAAAATGATGCATCAGAGTTTTTGCCCTTAGACTTGGTATTAAGGTGAATTTTGTTGATGCAATCAAAAGTGTACAACATTAAATACAGGTGAGGTCTAAAACATTAAAAGTTTTCTGCTTTTGACCTCTTCGAGAAGTAGGATGTTTTATTCATTCATTCATTTTCTTTTTGGCTGAGTGAGTCGCTTAATTAATTGACGGTGGAACGAACAACCAACTCATCCATCATATGTTTTATGCAGCAGTAGCCCTTCCAGCTGCAGCCCATCACTGGGAAACACCCATACACTCTCATTTACACACATACACTACGGAAAATTTAGCTTACCCAATACACCTATACCACGTCTTTGGACTTGTGGGGGAAACCAGACCACCCGGAAGAAACCCACGCCAACACGGGGAGAACATGCAAACTCAACACAGAAAAGCCAACTGACCCAGCTGAGGCTCGAACCAGCAACCTTCTTGCTGTGAGGCGACATCACTACCCACTGCATGACCAAGATGTTTTATTATTTGTTTACCTTTCTTATTTTTATCTTTGTATTGCAGAGAGCTTGGGGTGGTTCTGGAAGGACTCTATCTGTAAATTTAAGCCATGGGGAAGGATTACTATAAGATCCTTGGCATTCCTTCAGGCTCAAATGAGGATGAAATCAAAAAGGCCTACAGGAAGATGGCTCTAAAGTTCCATCCGGACAAAAATAAGGATCCCAATGCTGAAGAGAAGTTTAAGGAAATAGCAGAAGCTTATGAGGTCCTGAGTGATCCCAAAAAGAGAGTTATCTATGACCAGTATGGAGAGGATGGTGAGTATGTTACATTTACAGAAGAACCATAACCAGACATTTGCATACCCTATCAGTTTAATGACTCATTATCAGATCTTTGGGAATCAATACTATATTAAATGTTTTCAGAAAGATTTAAATAATTGATAAAGTTAGAATTGCCTGCTTTTTTTAAAGCCTTCTCTGCTTTGTAGGGGCAAAGACGTACTATGCAGAAGAGCTTTACAAATCAGAAAACTGACACGCGTTGTATTTACTCGTGTTGTATACAGACGGGTGTAACATTAACATTTGACAGGTGCCAAGTGCAAGTACAAATTGGCATTGGTGATTATTAGAAACAATGTTAATTGTCAGTTGGCCAGTAACTTATTTTAATTGTGAATGTGATAGCATGAATGAGAAATTTGTAATGTGACATAGGGCAGCGGTTCCCAACAGGGGGGGTCCCGGCCCACAAGGGGGCCTCAGCGAGCTCTATGGGGGGGTCGCGTCATATTTAAAAAAAAATTTAGCAGCGGACAATTAGGAGAACGATCATGCTGCCTTAGTTCATTCTATCCCCTGGCTGACCAAAAAACTGACATATTTGCAATTCGTCCTCCACAGAAAAGACTAATGCTAATGACCCGAGCGTACTGGAAGCAGTTGGAAGCTCTAAACATCTCAGGTTGCAGCGCTAGCAATATCGGAAACGCGAAATGCAGGAAATACCAAAACAGTTACCTGAACTTTGGTTTTATTCCATTTTCACGAAGCAAAGAGTCCCTGACCCAGCCACAGTGCATTATCTGCGCCAAAGTTCTTGCTAACGAAAGCATAAGGCCATCCAAATTAATAAGACATTTGCAGACGACTCATCCTCAATACCGCGACAAGCCCAGACCATTTTTTGACCGTAAGGCAAAATAAATGAAACGCACCCAAAATAAGATGAGGGCCGTCACAGCTAAAACATAAAAAAGGCAACTAATATAGGGCCAATTTGAAGGCCAGAGGCTTACGTTTCTCATTTAGAAATGGCCTATAAATGTTTTGCTTTTATATTTTACATTAGGCTATTATTTGTGCATAAACAGATCAAGATACAGTAATAAACATACTGTTTGTGCAAAAACAGTATTTTTCTCAGACAAAAAAAGGTTGGGAACCACTGATATAGGGCCTGCATTTATTTTTTACAGTCTAAATAGTGCATTACTTCAACCATATCTTTAATAAGGAAACATTACAGATGTAAATGTCAGCTAGACTTCATGGACCGAGGCTCATTTCTGTGTTTACGTCAGACAGGACAGTCCTTAAAAGGATGTTTGTCATGGCTCACGTGGCTGGAACACTTGTCTTTGAACGCTGTCAGAGCTGCTCTACCACCTCTGCTTTTTCCCAACAATCAAAATAACTCCCTCACACTGCAGGATGATGCACGAGTGTTCTCTGACAAATGCAAGGACTATAAACATGGCACTGTTCCAAAACAAAAATGTTTGTTGAAATAAAGGATTTAAGGTATCCCACTTATATGCCAAGTCCAGGCTAGATGCCAAACTAAGCATCTTTGCACAGCGAACACCTGCCAATTCCTCCAATAATTGAATTGCTAATTTTTGCATAAAGGAATCCCTTTATTTTTTAGACTAGAGACTTTGCATTAGTTATTTTGATGCCTTGTCATTCTATACTGCTTGTAAATAGAGACACTGGGTTCACGTCAAAACAGATTCACATTGAGATTCATATTCATATGTTGACAAAATGTATATTTGACGTGTTATTCTCACATGGCCCACTTTAATAGCCATCCCCTCATTAGCTGTTTTGGCCCCAGGAGATGATTTAAATTGCATGGACTGTAGAGAAAGGATGTTTTTATAAGATGTCTGATATGGTTAAATAAATGCAGACTGAACAGTTTAGGATTTGAAGTTGGAATGAGTCAGATGAGTCAGCTTAAGTCCTGACCGTTAGATGAAGCACATTTGTTACAAGCCATCAATCACCCACAATAACATAGGGGTGTTAATATTTTTCTAGGGGGTTGAAAAGCACAAAAGACATGATTGCTTGACCCTCCCTGATTTTTGTGAAGAGCAACATTTTGCAGCAAACCTCTAAACAAAGTTGAGAGAACATAGAGGACAGGTCTTCTACACAAACAGGTTAAACAGCTACATGTTCTTTCCTAAATATGTTTTAGAACCAGACCACAAAATGAAATCCACTTAAAAGGAAGAACACTGCTTGTATATGCTCAGAATGTATCTTCTGAGGAAGACTGCAGGCTTTGGAGAGTGTATCTGCTGAAGACGACTGCTTGTTTTGCAGAATGTGTCTGTTCTTTGCCCAGCCATTTGAATTTGCCTTTTTTGTTACCAAAAAAAAGAGAGGGGTGGAGAAAAGAGAGAAAGTCTCACACCTCAGAATGTTGATGTGTGAACAGTTGCAGACTAAATCAAAAAGTCTTTTCTATGCTACATCATGGAGATGGCTAGTACTTGATAAGTGTCCAGCTGTACTTTAGGACTATTAGCTCAGTTGCCAATTATGTAATATAGTGATATAATAAATACAAATTTGCAGTGCTGTCTCAGTATTATTCGTTTATTTACAAACAAACAAGAGGTTCAATTTATAGAGGTAATACTTTTTTGCATATTTTAAATAATTGTTATGCATTTATATGGAATGTGACAATAGTATCACAGTAAAACTATGATCCTAAAAATATTTAGTAATCCTTTATAATAACTGGTTAAAGCCATCCAGCTGTATAGTGTCAGTGTACTTGTTTTCTTTGAAGAAAACATATAACTAAATTTAGGTCAGTAGCTCAAATAGTAGCTCAAGTTCCCTTAACGTACAGTATTGGGGTTTAAAGTGTAATTTTAAACTATTTCAAATACTTAACACACGAGACCTAACAGTTAGAAGTCATAAGGCTAACACTTTTATAATATGTGGCTTAGGTTTTATTGTTACTGAGTCCAAAATCCAGTTTTCCCAGACATCTGTAGATGGTGATGTCTATAATGTGGCACCAACAGTCTTTCTTAATAAATATCAAAAAGTTATTTAAAATATATTTATTTTTAAAGATTTTGTAATATAGTCATTTAACATACAGTAGTTGATAACTTGATAACCTGTCACTGAAGCAGAATTTAGAGACCTGTGCAGATTTTCAGTCTCACTCCCACCCGATCCTACAAGATTTAGCTACAAGATCTGCTACAAGATATATATATATATATATATATATATATATATATATATATATATATATATATATATAGTTAAGGTATTTCTCAATCAATAAAATTAGGCAGTTTTCAATATTTTACTAAGTAAATAAAAAATAAACTCAATTAAACTAAAGAAAATGCAGGCCTAAATATCACCTGTAAATGGCTTTTATTTTATTGATGTCTTTATTGTTAATTTGTGGGAGTGCAGGTCTCTAACTGGAATAATATGCAGAAATTCTTTATATATTGTTCCCCCTTTGTGTAATTCCATTCAGGTTTGAAAACAGGTGGCACGGGTTCATCTAGTGGACAAGGGACTACATATCACTATACTTTTCATGGGGATCCACATGCCACATTTGCTTCCTTCTTTGGAGGTTCCAACCCCTTTGATATATTCTTTGGCTCTAGTCGGCAACGAGGAAATACTAATGGCTTTCCGGACCATGGGGACCATGACATGGACATTGATATGGATGGAGAAGATGATCCTTTCAGTTCGTTCAGCCACTTTGGTTTCAACGGTGTCAATGGTTTTCATCATGGTGGAGGTCGAAGGCATCGTAACGAGCCTCTTCATGGTGGCCGCAAGAAATTACAGGACCCTCCGGTGGTACATGAGCTCAAAGTGTCTCTAGAGGAGATCTTCCATGGATGTACAAAGCGGATGCGAATCACTCGCAGACGATTGAACCCAGACAGAAAGACAATGAGGACAGAGGACAAGATCCTTAATATTGTCATCAAGAGAGGTTGGAAGGAAGGGACCAAGATCACTTTCCCTAAAGAGGGGGATGAGACACCTGAGAACATTCCTGCTGATATTGCATTTGTGCTCAAGGACAAGGGGCACCCACTCTTCAGAAGAGATGGCTCCAACATCATTTACACAACCAAGATTGGTCTAAAGGAGGTATGTGTTCTTAAATCTGCTTTTGTTTGATTCATTAATTGAGCGGCATTGTGATATTGTGTATTGCTGATTAAATGTCAGTTTATGCACTTCCTTGACATTCCCTAACTGGCCGTCAAAGCAGACTGGCTTGTTTTACCAGTTGGCTTCTGTAGCCCAAGAATACACAGACCCAGACTTAGATTAGAGAGGTTTACTGCTGTGTCAACACTTGACCAGCCTTTGACCTCATTTACATGAACTTACAGGGCAAATTAGTGGGCTTCATTTGGTATCAACCCCACAGTCCAAAAAAGTACTGACCTTGTTAACCTGCACAGATGCTACATGTAGCTGCCTTATCCACCACATAAAACTCATTGCTGCTTCTATTGCCCAGCAACATTAAAAAACATATTATTGTGCACACATGTGTATGTATGTTTGTATATATATATATATATATATATAGTGCTCAGTATTAATGAGTACACCCCTTCTGAAAAGAATGTTTTTAGCCGTTTCTCAGTAAATACAGATATATAGTGAATATATTTTGGTGTATTTACATCAAACAGTTTTATTAAATGGTTATATCCATTTAAATAATAGTTTGGTTGCCTAATCCCCTAAGAAATAATATTAAATTGATCAAATTTAAAAGTTTTTGGAATATATAATATATGTAATATTTGACTAGATATTTTTCAAGACACTTAAAACTATACAGCTTAAAGCAACATTTAAAGACTTAACTAGGTTAATTAGGTTAACTAGGCAGGTTAGGGTAATTAGGCAAGTTATTGTATATCGATGATTTGTACGGCAGACAATAGAAAAAAAAATTGCTTAAAGGAGCTGATAATTTTTTCCTTAAAATGGTGTTTAAAAAATTATGATTGCTTTTATTCCATCCAAAAAAACTTTCTCCAGAAATAAAATATTATCAGACATACTGTGAATTTTTTTTTTCCCTATTAAAGATCATATGGAAAATATTTTAAAAAGAAAAAAAATTCAAAGTGGGGCTTATAATTCTGACTTCAACTGTGTGTGTGTGTGTATATATATATAAATAATTATAAAATTTTCACATTTTATATTTACGTTTCTGTAGATTTTTTTTGTTTATTCATATTTTATTTAATATTCTATTAAAATTTTTAGATTTTAATATAGTTTAAATATTTTATTTATAATATTGTAAAGCATCCTATAAAACAAGGGCACCAACCCTGTTCTTGAAGGGCTATCTCCGTGTAGAGTTTACTTTCAACCTTGATCTGTCTGTAATTATCAAGTGCTGCTTCGGGTCCTGAGCGTCATGTTGGCACAGTGGGTAGCACAATCACCTCACAGCAAGAAGGTTACTGGTTCGAGCCCCGGCTGGTTCAGTTGGCATTTCTGTCCGGGTGCTCTGGTTTCCCCCACAGTCCTAAGACATGCACTAAACGTTCACCAGATTGTCTGAATAGCTCTATTTGGAAATAATTTATTAAATTAGATCGATGGTGATAATAACACATAACACAATATTTAAAAAGAAAAAGCATAGGTAAATACAAAAGAGCCAACATGAAAGTGAATAAAACAGTACTTTATGGTTTTCTGTGGAGCAACAGAAATTGAATAATTAAATGTAAAATAACACTAAGGTTTTATTGTATGAATAATTCAATAAAATAAGAGCTTATTAAAGTTACAAACTAGGGTAGGGAAGGCGATTTGGCTTAAAAACAAAATATCGATTAATTGAACATTTGAACTCAATTAAATAATTATTTAATTATTGTAATTATTGTATTATTAATTATTGTAATTATTTTATTTGTTTTGGGTTTTTTTTGCCCTCTCGGCACCGCCCATACCCGTCAACACTACCAATCCGACCAATCACAGAGCTTTCGCTATTCATTGTCGCGACATGTAACATTTTTTTGATAGGTTAGCGTCGGCATCAATCACGGCTAGGGGTATGCTACTGCGTGAAGGCTGCACCAGACCCTATGTTGTGCTCGATGTAGGGGTTTACGTGATCACACATGGTAGGGAAAGTAATTGAAAAAAAAATTACCTGGTAAAGTTTGATCGAAATCGACATTCAGAACCTACAATTACTTACTTTTCAATTAACCCAGCCCTATTACAAACGGTACAACTCTGCAGTGACCCCACAAACCTCATGTCTTCCGAACTGTGGCTTCTGATCAACTACTGTATAATCACAACATATAAATTCAACATTTCACAGTCTGCAATGTGACTATTACAGATGTGGACACTGCGAAATTGATGCTGAAGCAGTATATTGTGCAGCCCTATTAATGTACATAATGAGAGTAAATATACTTGAGCATGCTCTATATTGACCATAGCTATAAGACTAAACAGGACAAATGACGCCTAGTGACTGTGTAGTACCTTCATGGTTCAACATCATTGCTGATTTACTCTCTCTCACTTCAGTGTGAGAGTACAGGAATGTCATAGTGCGGTGTCATACGCCAAAGCAGAGTCCCTGCTTTGAGAAAGTGAGTTGAACTCGCCTTGAAGAGTTGAACTGGGCTAATAAATTGTCATGTGACTGAGCCAAGCGTGACTTTTCGAGTTGCACACTGAACAGGGAATATTAATTTGCCTACATCCATGAAACTGTTACTAATAAAAGCCAATAGTAAACAATCAGCAGTTAAAATAACAATTGTATAGGTCACACTTTACAATAAGGTTTATTAGTTAATGTTAATTAATGCATTTACTAACATGAACAAACAATGAACAATACATTTACTACAGTATTTATTTATGTTAGTAAACGTTAGTTAATGAAAACACAGTTGTTCATTGTTAGCTCATGTTAAGTCACGGTGCATTAACTAATGTTAACAAGCATGGACTTAGATGTTAATAATGCATTAGTAAATGTTCAATTATGATTAATAAATGCTGTACAAGTGTTGTTCATGATTAGTTCATGTTAGTAAATGCATTAACTAATGAACCTTATTGTAAAGTGTTACCATTGTATATTTCTGTAAAGTGTATTTCATAGTTGAGCCTTCTTCATGAAAGTTCAAGAGTTTACAATGGCTCTGTGCCTCCCTACTTGCCGTAGATGTAATAAGAATCTCCCAAAATTCAGTCCCAAGCCATCAAACGCTGGAACATTTATATATTATTGATGCTGCCTTGATTTAATGGGATTTTCATAGGCTGACCCACTGAGGATAATAACTACACAACTGCATATATTTCTGCTTGTGTAGTGACCCAGAAAAACACTCAGTTAATACTTTGTAGTGACAGTGGCATCGGCAGAAATAGCTAACGTCAGTCTTGAGTGAGTGTGGTGTGTTCGAGAGTACCACTGTCATTAACAGTGGAAACCTTTCTTTGTCTTTCTGCTAGCTTAGACAGCTTTTACTTCGACAGCTCAGCCAGCGCTGTCAGCTTTTTCAAACAGTGTGTCTGTAAGATATCCAGCTCTACAGTGCAGGTTGCTTTACTTTTAACTGTCTTGGCATTTTTAATATGTAAACCGTGGATTTAAACATAATTTGCAAAGATCTACTGTGTCCATTTTAACAGTCTACTAATAGTTTCTGTGTTGTTTTCAGAGCAGTGATTTACTTTTAAAGGTCTCGCTCATTAGATGCCCAGAATGAAACTTGATAAGTGCTGGTGAACATCACAAACTGTTTTGCCATCTGGTATCATCTAAAGCATACTGATGGCAACTTGCCCCATGAATTTTCATCTGCCTGTTTATTGTGGATGCATTCATAAGACCGATTTAGCATGGACCTAGACGGTTCTCAGAGGAACATTGTCTTCATTTTAATATCACTTTTCATTTAGAGATGCTCTTAGTGGAACCCCAAAGCCCTTCTTTAATGAGAGCTCAGAGTTTCTGTAATTGCCTGCTGGTAATGAGCAGAGTTTGTTCAAGAGCAAGACAGCTATAAGGTCCCTGTCTACTGCTAATTTCCATACCCATTCACCTAGTAATTACTCATCAGCTGTACTAAAGAGCCCTGTTAGCACAGACCCCGTGGTGTGATGATGCAGGATTATTCAAGACTCTCTATACGTGGACTCGCATCAGAAAGTTATTTTTTTTAATTCTGACTATATTGTCATAAAGGGCAGCACGGTGGTGCAGTGGTTAGCATGATCGCCTCACAACAAGGTCACTGGTTCGAACCTCGGCTGAGTTAGTGTGGAGTTTGAATGTTCTCCCCCTGTTCGCGTGGGTTTCCTTTGGGTGCTCCGGTTTCCCCCATAGTCCAAAGACATACGCTATAGGTGAATTGGGTAAGCTAAATTGGCCATAGTGTATGTGTGTGTATGGATGTTCCCCAGTGAAGGTTTGCAGCTGAAAGGGCATCCGCTGCGTAAAACATTTGCTGGATAAGTTGGTGGTTCATTCCGCTGTGGCTGATTAATAAAGGTTTAGATTAATAAAGGGACTAAGCTGATAGAAAATGAAAGAAGGAATGAGTTAATTTTTTAACATCTACTCCCACCCCGACCATAAACCCAACCTTCCTAGTAACATAAAAACAGTAGTTGTACCAAGTATTATTTATGCTATCTATTAAATTTATATATATATATATATATATATATACACAGTGTCATAAAAAATGCTGCTATAATGATGTGCATATCGCACTTCCGGCCGGACACATATCCTATCTAGACTTTACCACGTTACCTGGGTTGTTCTTTGTGTTCTTTATATACCAACACCTCTAGTGTTAAGATGATGTGTTGATGTGGATCAGTGTAATCATCACTGTTTTACACTGATACCAGTTTTGAAACTGTATAAATTTATAACTAATTTATCCATAAAAAAGGGTCATTTAGGCTCTGTTACTTAGGATTTTTACTGTCCTCCAGCATTTCTACCTTGTGTTTGTTTTATCGCTGTTTCTTTCTGTCTTCTAACTATAGAGGATCTTTTTCTTGGGCTGCACACACACTGATTCTCTCATCGTCTCTGCTAATGAAACAAT